GTCGTTGCAACATACCTGTTTATGTATTACATATCAGTCTCTCTGTCACATATACATAGTATGTTATTAGTTTTAAGTAGAGATAGAAAGTTAGATTTAGTAGAACGTAGAACGTCATGTTAGCATATGGTTTTATACCATTCTTCCAAACATTCTGCACTCATTGCCCTTATCAGTATGCAATTGGCCCTCAGGAATGAACTTGCAATAAAGAACTCCACATCACCCTGTGCAGCTTCTCTTTTCAAGCTGACCCCTCGCCCATACTCGTGTAACAGTAACCCCTTCATATTTGGCATATGGAATAGCCCAAAGAACTTCTGCCCACCTCCTTTTACCTCTGGACTGTCCTTTCAGTGTTGGTCATCTAATACTGTGTATTAGCTGACCAACCTGTGACCCTCACAGATGTGATGAATCATCGAAACTGTGGCCTGCAGGTTGAAACACCAACACGACCGACAACCCATCTGTTCCGTACAACTGCGGCATTTTCCTTCTTTCTATCACGACGGCGATCTACATTAAACACTGCAATCACGGGCAAAATAGCCCTCTCAGCATCCGTTGGCGATAATTAAGAAATGCAGTATTATCACAGCATCTTTTAAGAGGTTGAGTAATAAATGTAGACATCTGAGTCTTCTGTGACCCAGTTGCCCCTAATGGCTAATGGCAATTACCCTTATTTACATGGCACGAACAAATGGAATGGAATACGGGGATCCAAAATACCCGGCAAGTTAAATCCCATTACTAGCCCCTCTGTGTGACAAAAGACTGGGGGAGACAACGGCAAGGGAACAGGTGTACCGACAAGCGAGCACACAGACCTCATTGTCTCCGACTCTGAATGGACTCCTCTTCATTGCACGACAAGCGTCACCCATCCACGTGAAGACTCGGCGATCCCCCTCGTGTGGAATACCGATTCCCTCATTGCCCTGGGGAGCTTCTGTTCAGAAGTGTTGCCGCGCCACCGGGAAATTGAACAGTGCGGGACGGAGTCCCCACCGAGCGCCGGCCGCAAAATCCCGCCCGCAGATCTCGATTACACGCGGCCATTTACCTGCCACATTGATTGGTTTTAAATCTCCCAGAAACAATTGAAGGCCGGGGGAAAGCTATCGGCATAATGATTGGTTTATCTGAGCAGGGATCTCTTATAGCTAGATTGCCGGAGCCTTTCTCCGATGCCACTTTGCATGCACGGCGAGATACCGGCTGAATTATTCAATTCTGGTCAGATCCAGAAAAGGGCAGGAGTGTTTCATACTGTGATCTCTTACTGCAGTTATACTAAAGTGGAATTAGGCAGGTTTTCTTTCGTGTCTGCCCGTCCCGTTGTCGACAAATCATGCTGACAGGCACGGATGTACAATCACAGCTCCCCAGGCTTCCTTACTGGGAGAAATGGATTTCCAATTCGAAACAATGAAGATATGTTACATTGGGACCGGCTTTGAAGCATGTCATTGCCATCTGTAGAGGGGGGAGGTAATGACAGAGTATAGGGCTGTGAGGAAATTGGAGACTTCAAACATTAATTTTCTCATAAAACATGTCATCTTTCTTTGAAGCTGAGTTACTGCTATAGCCAGGTGCCTGACAGGGGTTGTATTAGGGTAGTGAATTATAAATTGTGCTTCGGGCCAAACAAATTTTATTGATTGGCACGCGTGCTCCGATTCCCATGTGTAATAGAGCAGGAAATAAAGGACATAAGAGAATTTCGTGCTTCCTGTTCACAAGTCTGAAATATCAATAAAATAGAGATGAGAGGGATGTTTTTCCAAAGTATCTAACTTAAACAGGGCCTGAATTTGAGAAATGAACTCCCAGTTCTATTACTAACAACTACTTCCATTCCTAATTGGCAAGATTAAATCAGTTGTTAGTTCAAAACTTCCATTCAAAAAGTGACTTGAATGGTGCTCAATATATGAGAAGTGCTGTTTTTGTAAGAAAACAGCACCTTTTCTATATTCCTACTAAGATACAGTCTCATAAAGATACATGATGGAAAGAAATACATTTTATTGGCCAATAGCTCTACTGCCTATATTGTGATGAAATTTGTATAGCCTGTGGAAAAGTACTGGTTTTATTCAGACTCCAGCCATTTAAACTGTGTGATGGAGATCAGGTGTGCCATAGAACCTTCTCATCTATTACACAGCCCTTGTTTTAAGTGTGATCAATCGCCAAGTACAAGTATCCTATTTCACAAAAAGGGTTTGGAAGTGAAAGAGCTGCATTTAATAGGCTGAAGTCCCCTTGGGGGTTGTCTTACTGATCAGGAAATGGGGTGGAAGAGAGGACTCACTTCTGACTTTCTTTTTAACTTCCTGTTTTTTTTTAAAGCTTTCTCTACATGGACTGAAGTTACCATTTTTGAAACGAGTAAGCATAATGTTTCTCTGTGAAAGTGATTGGATATGTTTGAAAATAATATTTTGTTGATGCACTATCTGGATCTGAGGAAAACTAGAAAAAGACTGACCATCAATCTAGATAGCCTGGGTACCATCCAGATTTTCACTACCCAACGCTCGAAAAAAATCTCGTGGTTTTTTCGAGCGTTGCGTAGCAAAAATCCAGATGGTACCCAGGCTACAATCTAGACAATGTACCTGATTTAAACACCATTGAACCTTTTTATCATAAGATTTTACTATAATAGTTACATACATTGTGTCTGGAACATTGGAGAAAAAAATGGTACTTGGAAATGTAGATTGTTGGAAATGACAAGAAAGACTTTCTATCTAGGGATGTCTAATAGTATTGACTATATTTTCTTGATGATTAGATAACAGATAACTGAGCAACTGTCCCAAGCAGCAACTCAGTTGCCACACTAGTCACATTCACACACTATGCTGTTTATTTCACCACACGCACTCAACATTTCTCAAGACAGGTATTGAGTCACAGACATCCACTGCTTTTCCATAAATTCCCCCCTTCCACCACAAAATTATATGCAATCAAAGGTAGTCTAATAACAGGTCATTAACATGTAATTACAGGGTTTAAGAATTAGGTTAGACAAGACCAGACAATGCGCACATTATGATCATATCTTAATGTATGTAACAGACAGGAACTACAAATTTTTAAGCTTAGGAGGTGGTATTTATGCATAGTAGCAAAAATGCAGAGTCATTTTCCAGTCATATGAGACAACTGAGTTGCAAGAGGATGTACATGGCAAAATCTTTGTGAAATGAGATGCCTACTTGTCTTACTATAGTGCAGTGGCGACCCTGTCTCTGGACCAAGAGATCTAAAGTTTGAATCTCAGGACTCACCCGACATGCAAACGACTGGAAAGGGTTAACTTTGTAGTCCCTAGGATGGTCTACTGTGTAATGCACTTGCCCATCAAAAGAGCTATACTGGAATTTCTTGGTACGATGAACCAGGGTGTATCTTATTAACTGTACATACCGTCTGTGTCTTTCCTTGTCACCACCAGTGGAGAATTTAGCTCTGCTCCACTTTCACCATCATGGCTTTTTTAATTGGTACACGGGGTCCGAAAGCAAGATGATTAGCTGGCACCAGATATAGCGGCAGACACATCTGTATGTCTGTACGACCAATTCAAGGACAGGCGTGGATCCAAATTTATCCCCCACCAGAGGTTAATGATCATGTCACATTCCTCCACTCTTGTAATGTCCTGACAAGCCAATCAGGGACCGTTCACTACGTAAAGGGGGAGGAGGCGGAACCTGGACTGAAGTTTGACTCATTCTGCAAAACGCTGTTCCCTTTCTGCACAATTTTGTTCAGAATATCGCTTGGCTGCCAGGTTGCCAAGAATTTTTCCCATTTATTTTTCATTGGTACTTTTTGTAAGGCTCGTATGTAAGAAATGTACCTCATTCATCATGAATGGGTACTATGTATCCACCCTGCCCTGATGTCAGCATGTGTTCACATCAATATAATGTTCATTGATCTGCTAACACTAAGGATCATATAGCACACGTTCGTGGCAATGCCGTAATCCTGGTCTAAAGGAACCTGACTTTTCCCATGAAATGAAAACTTGAACTGCATTGTACGTTACAGGCAACGGCAGAGAAATCAACGTTTTGACGTACAATGCGGTTTGAGGGAACATATGACGTAATTAATTAAGCAGGTCAATCACATGTGACTTAATAGCATGGAGTTAGTTTTTCATCACATTAGGTCCAACAAATGATGTGTAACAAGAAGAACATAATAAGCTTTTTTCCGTTTACTTGGTACTTTGAATCAGTCTATATTTCCAGGGTATAACTGAACCAGATCAGACATGGCTATAAATTTTCCATAAACAGAATTGTTTATAAGACAACTCACAGTCCAAACAATAGCTATCCAACCTGCTCAGAGTTTCCCCCAAGCACATAAACTACATAAAGACATGGACAACATGACTCACCAAATTGAATGACGTTTTGTATATACAGTAAGTATATTGTTGCCAGTACCAAAAGCCCGTTAGTGTCTCTTCGTTTCTCCCCCAAGAGAACTCATGACCATGTCATGTGGGGTCGTAACCTCATAGCAACTGCATCTCCGATTACACCATGACAGACCAGTGGCATCTCGAATGTTACAGCATGCCTGTAGCCAGGATTTTGAATGGGGGGGTTCTTCCCACTGCTAAAGGGGACCTCGAGCGCCATAGGCGTGAGGTTCCTAGGGGGGTCCGGGGGCATGCTCCCCCGTAAAATTTTCAGAAATGAACCTTCTCTAATGGCATTTCGTGCGTTTTTGAGAGGATTTCAAACAAAAAATCAGAGATAAATTTTTATTCAATGACAAAGGGAGCAGTTTTTCTACGATTCCAGTCTATCTTTTCAAGAAAGATCTTGAACCTTTATATAAGAAGTGGACCAAAAAGTGGACCTTTACATAAAACGTGGACCAAAAAGTGGACCTTTGAGCTTCCGAACCCCCCGAACCCCCCCTTGCTACGGGCATGTATAGCGGCCCTTTTACAATTTGTTACACTCAATGACATGTTACAATTTCCTGCTGTGCTTCGAGGATATAAATGGTGGTGTCAACAGAACATGGATGGGTTTGTCACTAATACGGGGTACAGATTAACTTAATTAACTGGCAAATGAAGTGCATCACAATGATGCAGGCATTTCATTCACTGGGAGGGTGTCATTGAAGTATTGCCAACTTCAAGATATTTCCTCCTATCCTAAGTACAGGAATCAGAGTGCGGCACTGATAATGCAATCGTCAGCAATGTTACTGGGTTTCAGAAAAGTAGCTTCAATGATGAACAAAATGAAACTATTAAGCATATAAATCAAAAGTTAGTACTAGTAATACTTATATATCAGTATGCAGAGAAGCAGGCAACAGGACAGATTATCTTGGAAGAGTGAAAAATAATAACAAAATACTTAGAAACGTTTGATAATTGGTTTGCTGCCAAACATATCAGACTGCATTAAATACTATATTGATGAATGCTACATTTTGCTAATATAACAGTTATAGGCTATGTGTATTTTCCATCAGACTATGATGACATTGATAAAAAAAACTGTCCATTATGCTCTCAAGAATCATCAGTCCAGTGCATCACCTAACAGCTTTACCTGCATTGGTATGGCTGTAGGTATAAAGGTAAAGGTCCCAGAGCCTATTTGAGCCTACTGGACAGGTATGGGCAGTTGGTTGCTTATCCCACTTGGGAAGTGAGTATTGTAAGTAAGGAGGGCCTGCATGGGGGTAGTAGTTACGAGTTACGCAAAGTTTTCACCGCCGATTACGTATTACGTTAAAGTATCACAATTGGAGTACTTTACGCTTTACGTCGCATAAAGGTAACTGCCTACGCTTTATGTCGAATAAAAACGACTCTTTACAAGTTATGGCTA